ATGTTTCAGTTTTCACTACACTGAGTAGAAAAACAATTGACTAGGCTACAAAACAACATTGAAGTTCACTTTTTATCTTTAGTGAGTTCAGACAGTCGTTTTACTAATTATGTCCAAAATTAGACTTACTTAAAACAGCAATCTGTCCCCGCCGTTTTATGCAAGAAAAATTCTGATATTATGCAAACTGAGCCCAAAACTGTGAAATTATGCGATTCTGTTAATTTTAACAAAGAATGATAAAGGAAAATAATCTGAAATTATGCAAAAAATGATCAAATTTAGCTAAATTATGCGGGTGCATAAAACCACGGGGACAGAGCAACAGAAGGAGCTTTAGTTTAAGTGCTGTATATGGTCTACTTTAGTTCTTTAAATCAATATAAACCAAAGTTTAATACCGACATAAGAAAACACTACTTATAATTGAGTATACTTTTTTAAAAAGTGAACATATGAATGAAAAATACAGTTGCCTGTTCAAATGTCACAAGGGAAAGTTTAACTCGATTTAAAAATACCAGTACATGTATTCATCATTTGTTTGACTGAATTTGCTTTATCAAGAGCTTCATTGCATTTCTACATCTAAAGGCTGAAAAACTCGGGAATTTTTTTCCCTATGGCTCATCCTGATTTAATTTAATGCCAAACTCATATATATCTGAGGGGGGTATTGGGATTCGGGAGGAGAGAGAGGGTGGGGTGGTCATGGGAGGTTCCCATGACACCCACATCTTTTCATACTTCTTTTTAAAAGTTCTATAGGCCCTATACGCTTTGATTCGGTCAATAAGAAATAAACCACCTGGTAGATAAAGTGCTGATGAAGAAATAAAGGTTTTTGTTTTTTTTCCCTTCTTTTTTTTAAAAGCCCATATATCTCTATCTCTATCTATTTAATAATACATTTATTTGTAGATCTAGTTGTAGAAAGAACGCCGTATTATTGCAATTTAGTTTTTTAGATATAGTAGGCCTACGTCACGGCGCCCATGTAAAAAAAAAAATCAACAAGAACCAAGCCTCGCCTGTCGCGTATGAGAGAGAGAGAAAACATGCCTAGCCCATTGCTTTAGCATGAACTCCTTCACACAACTTGCCACGAAAAACATGGCGGACGCCGCTGTCAAATGTGGCCATCGCGCAGCAAGGCGAGAGAGGGGCGTATTGTATCTAGTACTATAGTGTACATCTATGGATCAGAGAAAAAGTCCTGTTATATCAGACCCCTGTTAAATCAGAAATGGAAGGGAAGTAAGCGTTTGTGGACTAATCCAGCCGTATTTATTCATGGGTAGTTTCCCTTGCCACAAGTGCCCACGAAAAGGGGTTTTGTCCCTGTGGCAGGCCTGCGCATGTAGCTAGGCTTAGGGTTAGAAGGAAGTCAGCAGCACACCGCAGCCCTCTTCGCTTCACACGCTGCGTGTGCTTGCAATGGCGTGGCTAGCGTGGGCTTGCTCCACCACTGCGTTACTCTTGTCTGTCTGTCTGTCTGTCTGTCTGTCTGTCTGTCTGTCTGTCTGTCTGTCTGTTTGTCTGTCTGCCTGTATCTCTTACTTCTTACACATTGTTAACAAGCCTTTGTCCCTGGTATAACCGATTGGGCTCCGGTGAGGCCCTGTTATTTCCGATAAATTTTAATAGAGACAAAGAGTAAGAAAAAACGGGGGTTTAAACAATCCCTGTTATTACCCGGCCTGGTATATATGGTTTCCACTGTACATGACTTAAAACAAGCACTATAAGCTAATACTACATGACTTTACATCAAGCTACACTACATACATAACTTAACCTGGCACTATGTAGGCTCTGACACTATATAACACTACACGACTTTACATCATGCTGTACCGATACTACATAATAAATATACTTAACATGCACTCACACTGCGTGACTCAACCAAGCACTATAACACTACATGACTGACTCAACCTAGCAATAGGCCTTATAACTCTACATGACTTAGCTCAGCAATCGTAGGGGGCTCTCGTGGCCTAGAGGTTAAGGTGTTGGCCTCTCATTCAAAGGTCCCGGGTTCGAATCCAGGTAGCGACCGAAAAATTTTCTTCTCTAAAATTGTCTTCTTTCACCTCCTTTCCTGCTCTCTTGCAATGTTCTGTTGTCTGCTTTCATTTCCACTTTCTGCCCCCACCCCCTCACCTCCTTTGCCCCCTCCTCTGGGCTCCTGACTCTTTCTGCAGCCTTTCTACTGCTACTCCTTAACTCCTCCTTACTGCTGTCTTTCTGCCACACCCCTGATCTACTGGTAGGAAAGATCTACACCTAGCCTTCTCGGACAAAGGCGAAAAATCTCGGAGGGCCCGTGTGCAAGTTGCGCACGTTAAAGATCCCTTGGTGGTCTACAATCGATAAGAGTAGGCTTCGGCCGCCATCCGGGCAAAATTCAAAATTTCCTACCAACTGAAAATATTAGGAGTGTCCCGCGCGCTCATATGACCTATGCAGTTGCGAGCGCCGTAAAACACTTTACAAAAACAAACAACAAATCAGCAATCGTATACATGTATAAATAATTATAGCACTATATGATTTCACATGAACTGAACTAACTCACTTGAAATTAATATTAACATATATACATCGCTACCCTAGAATTCCAAATTCTATCTGCTCAGTAGGCCTTTCTTGTTTTGAGAAATCTGACGTTAACAATTTTGAGTCTCGCAACGCGTAAAGCTTTTTCGAATGCAATTCTTTGAATATCTTGATGTAGACTGAATCATCTTACGATTTTGATCAATAGGGCAGTTGGCTTCTGACTAATTTGACATAATAATGTTCTTAGTTACTCAAAACGGCCAACAATGTCAGATAGAACTTTATAACTCTAAGGTAGCGATATGACACTGTATTAATGTCCTACAGATTACAACACGGAACCATGATCAATGTCTGTGGACCAGTGTCTGTGATGTAGCATTTAGGCGCTTCATTGTCACACGCCGGAGACCCGAGTTTGATTCCCAAGACAGGAGATAGAAATGTTTTCAAGTATCTCAGTCTTTCTGCTGGGGGCTGGGATGTTGTATCCCTCTCAGCCCGAGTTGGCCCTGACAGGCAGGGTCGGAAGCCCGCCTCCTGTAAAATCTAAATTGTGACGAAGGATGCGTAGACAATACTCACATCGTGTATCTCCGTCTGTCCGAGGGGTCATAGTATCTCTCTCAGCCAAGGCTGGCTCTGACAGGCATGATTGAAGGAGCCTGCCTTGAGTTGATGGGGGCGTAAAACATTCCAGTTTTATAGCACCGTGTAACTCTTCATGGTACTACAAGATATTATGTAACGCTTCATGATATACTTGGCATTCTACAGGCTCTCAACTTGTCATTATATGGCTCTTTATAACACTTCATAGTACTGAATTGCACTGCATTACATTGCACCGGCCTGTCTGACAGGGGGCTCTCGTGGCCTAGAGGTTAAGGTGTTCGCCTCTCATTCGAAGGTCCCGGGTTCGAATCCGGGTCGCGACGGAAAACATTTTCATCTCTAAAATTGTCTTCCTTCA